TTGAGCGAGGATAGCTGCATAACCTCACAGATGGATTGTTTCTTGAGATTGCCAGACACATAGACGCGTTTTGTGGGGATAGCTACATGCTGAAACCTCACGAGTTGAAGTGATCTTGGATAGTGCCGGACACATAGACGCTTTGAGTGAGGATAGTCATACTGAAACCTCACAGGTGATTTGTATTGGAGATTGCCGGACACATAGACGCGCTGAATGGGGATAGCTGCATACCCTCATAGATGGATTGGTTTTTGAGTTTGCCAGACACATAGACGCGCTGCGTGGGTATAGCTACATACTGAAACCTCACGAGTTGAGTGATGTTGGATAGTGCCGGACACATAGACGCTTTGAGTGAGGATAGACACACACTGAAACCTCAGATGATTTGTATTGGAGATTGCCGGACACATAGACGCGCTGAATGGGGATAGCTGCATACCCTCATAGATGGATTGGTTTTTGAGTTTGCCAGACACATAGACGCGCTGCGTGGGTATAGCTACATACTGAAACCTCACGAGTTGAAGTGATGTTGGATAGTGCCGGACACATAGACGCTTTGAGTGAGGATAGAGGTCGAAACCATGAAGGCCGCATAACAGCATGGCTCACAGGTGATTTGTATTAGAGATTGCCGGACACATAGACGTGTCGAGCGAGGATAGCTGCATAACCTTACAGATGGATTGTTTCTTGAGATTGCCAGACACATAGACGCGCTGCGTGGGTATAGCTACATACTGAAACCTCACGAGTTGAAGTGATGTTGGATAGTGCCGGACACATAGACGCTTTGAGTGAGGATAGAGGTCGAAACCATGAAGGCCGCATAACAGCATGGCTCACAGGTGATTTGTATTAGAGATTGCCGGACACATAGACGTGTCGAGCGAGGATAGCTGCATAACCTTACAGATGGATTGTTTCTTGAGATTGCCAGACACATAGACGCGCTGCGTGGGGATAGCTACATACTGACTCTTCACGAGTTGAGGTGATGTTGGATAGAGCCGGACACATAGACGCTTTGAGTGAGGATAGAGGTCGAAACCATAAAGGCCGCATAGCAGCATGGCTCACAGGTGATTTGTATTGGAGATTGCCCGACACATAGACGTGTTGAGCGAGGATAGCTGCATAACCTCACAGATGGATTGTTTCTTGAGATTGCCAGACACATAGACGCGTTTTGTGGGGATAGCTACATGCTGAAACCTCACGAGTTGAGTGATGTTGGATAGTGCCGGACACATAGACGCTTTGAGTGAGGAAAGACACATACTGGAACCTCACAGGTGATTTGTATTGGAGATTGCCGGACACCCAGACGCGTTGAGTGAAGATACCTGCATACTGACACCTCAAAGATGGATTGGTTGTTGAGTTTGCCAGACACAGTCTAGACGCGCTGCGTGGGGATAGCTACATACTGAAACCTCACGAGTTGAGTGATGTTGGATAGTGCCGGACACATAGACGGTTTGAGTGAGGAAAGACACATACTGAAACCTCACAGGTGATTTGTATTGGAGATTGCCGGACAAATAGACGCGTTGAGTGAGGATAGCTGTATACTGAAAATCCACGTAGCTATACTGAGGGGACAATTCGAGAAGCAGTACACATAGATCCGACCCCCAACCCGTACCCGAACCCCCCCTGGAAAATAGAGGCCATGCGCCCACCCACCCCCCTCTACCTCCCCCAGAGGATGAGGAGGGTACAGACCAAAGTAAGCACAAGCTTACGTAAGGGTAATGCCTTTTGGTACGGCATTAAAAAAATACTAGTCCTCCATTGGGCGGTGGAGGACTTAGAGCTAAGACACCCCAAAACTCTCCGGCGTGAGATCCAAAATAGATCGGAGGGTGGACGGGGGGTGTACTCATAGTCGTGCATGCCGTAGTCGTTAGACCATTGACCTCGCATCCCTACAAAGCCGGGACGGAGCACGCCGGGTTCTCACCGGACCAGGCTCTCACATCACCAAGCGCGAAGCGCCGTGAG